ATAGAGTATCTTGACTTTAGTGGGGTTATGGCTTTGCAGAATGATGTATTAATTATAGCTATTATCAAACGATCTCCGAATTTAAGACACTTAGAGATCAGTCATAATGATATTGGTGATGAGGTTATTGAAGCGTTGGCTTATACATGTCATAAATTAGAGCATCTCGAGCTAGATGGTTATTCATTTGTCAGTGAACTATCAATTTGTAATGTTATACGTTCCTGTCCAAGACTCCAGCATCTCGAACTTAGATACTGTAATATTACCAGTACGACTATCAGAGAAATTGCTCGCTCATGTCTCAATTTAAAATCTCTAGATTTGGAAGGATGTGAAAATATTAGCAAAAAAGCCATGGACTAGCTAAATCCAAATATTCATATCGAAAATTTTGATGAAGACTACTACTGTTCCGATTCAGAATCTTCTTGCTCTGGCTCCGAAACCGAAACAGAGGATGAAGAAGTCTATAGTAATAATATGCCACCTCCGATGATTATGGGCACGGTTGATGATTTTATTTCTGAACTTCTTAATCGGGAACTAGCATTGGAATGGTGATACTCTACTGATCATCAGCTCGGAAGAATTTGCTGGGCCACTCCTGTGCGACAGAAAAATAAGTGGATCATCATTTGACAGGTTGTGCGACAGCCGTTAAGGCGCTAGCCATCAAGGAGCGAAACAAAGCATAATAATTTTCGCATAAAACACTGATCTTTTTTGAATATATAAGAAAGGAGCGAAGTGACATGGATCCAGAAATATATTTATTAAAGCTAAGCGTCCTTGAGCTAGAGACTGAAAATAAGAAGTTAAAACAGCTTGCAAAACAGCTTCTAAAGCCTAAAGTTCCTCCTCCACCTACACAAGAACTAGTTGATCAATCCGATTATAGTGAAGATTATCTCTGGCATAAATTCATTAAAGGATTAAAGCCAGAGAATAATATATGTGTCGGAAACATTAAATTACGTGATGAATTGGTGGAAGGACTTTTTCAAGCACTTAGGACTAAAGATTGACCCGATCAGTCTGGAGCGGTGATCACCAGCTCGGAAGACTTAGCACAGATTTCTGCGCAATGATGTAATAGCCGATCAGTCAGGTCTTGTGTGACATATTAATTTTTGCATATATATTCGAAAAAGAAATCATACTAACCTTTGTTCTTTATTTTTTCCCAAACCAACATGAGAAAAATGTGAAAGGAGGTCTAGTTGCAACACAGAACAAGCTCTAAAAGTAAATAGTGACAGCAAAAGCATATGTTGTGAAAGGCTGAGGGAGTCACAATTTCGAGATCGCCAGGCGTAAGACCAACTATGTGTCTCTCCGGTAGATCTCTATGTGAAAAGGTATGAGGATTCCATTTGCATGTGCTTTCATAGAGGTCTTGGCATCAGACGACAATACTAATTACGCCTCATACCTCCTTAACTTTTTCCCAGCAAGATATAAAGCATGTAGGGTTTGTAGAAGTTCAGTTAACTTTCCGCAAAAATATTCCTGTAAAATAGTTTCACTAGCGTAGCTAACGCAAAATAAGGTACGTATATGCCAGAAGATGTGTATGTATGGGAGCGAGTTTTTCTCACTATGGGCTTTGTATTTAGGAAAGCAAGATGTCTGATAAGTCCAAAACATCTGATAAATCAAAATATATTACTCTCAATTGTCTCATCCCCGGTGAGGGAGTGAACGATATTTTTGATGTAACGATAGCTAATAACAATAGAGTCTCTTCTCTCGCGGATGCAATCAAAACCCGTTGTCCAGATCGATTTCAAGATATAGATTCGACCAGTTTGGATTTATATAAGGCCGGGGTGATATCTGGTAGCCTTGCAATCCCCAAGTCAGAATACAGTAGTGCAGTTAAAATAGAAGGCGGAACAAAAATGCAACTGCAAGACAGAATTTATAGTCATTTTCCCAAACAACCCCAACTTAAATATCCCAGTGAACGTTACCATGAACAGGGAATTAATGTTGTCGTACATCCTGAACCGTTGCCAGAAGCGCTAAGCAAAGATAAATAGTATATTTATTCGTATCATGTAGCGATAGGCTTTAGCCTCGAAGTATATTCGCAATTTTATGTATTTTAGGCTGGCTACCGGCAACATTTTTTATTTCATAAATAAAGTATTATTATTGTACTGAACATGAGAAATGGGTCACGTGTAAATCATGTAATGGTGCGGTCCATGTAATACTAGGACTATAAATCTAACATTTTTATCCGAACAGCGACAAGCGCATCTAGCCTATATAAAAACGTCAGGTGATAAGTGAGAAGAGTCTTCACGGTTAGAGAGGCGCAGTGATTAGGTGATCGTTGTACCTATGATGCGGATCATGTAAATGCAGCAGTCTGTGAAACAGTTGAATTTCTCACATATACCAGCCCTCAGTATTTTTTTCGCAAATAAAACTCTTTCAACTCTTGTCCTCACATACCGCACTTTGAGCCAATAACATTTCGCAAAAAATACTATATAAGCCGAAAATATGTCTATCACTTTGTTCTGTCTTATCAAAGGAATACGTCCGAGAACGCTTTCTCAGTTAAAATAAGTAGGGACGAACCTATTAGTGAACTCAAGAACGCTATAAAGGCGAAAAAGGCACCTGAGTTCGACAATTTTCCTGCAGACAGGCTCAAGCTATAGAAGGTGTCGATCCCTGGCGATCAGGACGATCAATTAAGAAATCTAATACTCCAGGACAGTGACAAGCTGTTGGCAATAAGAAAGATTTCGAAATACTTTCCAGACTCACCTCCCGAAGAACATATCCATGTCATCGTAAAATTGCCACGTAAGTGTCTGGTACAGTCTGTGCAAAGCGCTAATTTTTCGTCGTTTGCCTTCGTAATATTAACATGTATTCGTTTCCAGTTCTCAGCTTGGAAGAAGCGTTGTCGTGCATTCCCCCACCAGTAACATATTCTCCGAAATGTACTAAATCGAAGACTACTACAAAGGTTAATAGTGACCCACCGACAAGCGTAAAACTTTGGGGAGACTTTTTTGAGCAAGTAAACAGCTTTCGTTTCGACCAACAACCAAGATTCGAGAGGCCGAGATTTGATGATAGATTTGTTGTAGTCAATGAAGGGGTTGTTCGTAATGCCATAAATTTCAATATTTGTATGGTATTGAATGATCTTACCGGGTCAGATTATGAGTATACGATGCGACAAACTGATACTCCTGACGTGCCGGATTTCACCTGCCACTATCTCGTGGAATCATTGATATTAGTGATCGAGGCTAAAAGAAAGCATGTTTTAGAGAAAATAGGCGAACAGAGCTTTCCCGAGTTTTACCAGGCGAATGAAAAAGCAAGAACGGTGATCCAACAAATCTATAATTATATGGGAGGAAACGAACTTAGATATGGCATTCTTTCCACCTATGATAATCACTG